CCATGGAAAATCCGTCCGGGCCCAACGCTTTGGATGACATCTGCAACATTCTCCTTCGTAAATTGTGGTAGTTCCTCCTCAGCTCGGAGTGCCCTTATGCGACGTAGCACACTTCTTTTCGCCCTGTCACTCTCGGGGTGCTCTATGAGCTGCCGGTTAAAATAACTCGCGCACCTCTTCGGGTCTGTTACAGTTACTTTAATGACCGTTGAATTAAAATCTTCTTCCTCATCTGTCATGGGGGTGTCGTCCTGACTAAGACGGAAGCTGTCGTATTCCTCAATCAAGTTGCGGATGAATTCTGAGTGTTGCGTCAGCTCTTTGTTGATGTCACCCAGGGTAGCGCTAAGGTTGTCCCCATCCGCATTTATTATTTTTGAGGAGCGTGTGCTCACACTGCTTGCGCTTAGAGAAGAGTCCGTGTCTGAGTCCGAGTTCTTAAATAGGTTGTTTGATCTTGTGAAATGAGAGACTGAGGGTGCCAAGGCAGCCACACCAACTTCAGTCGTAGAGGATTTTTTGTTTTTGTTTTTAGGGGTTTTTGAAAATTTACTAGGCTCCATAGTAGTTGAGTAAGTGTAGGACAAGATGTCTACCATGGCATAGCCTCCTTACAATGGCAAGGACTCGGTAGCTAAACCTAATACTGGTTGAGGCGCCCAGGTATCAACCAGGCTCCGTTAGAATACAGTCGTTACACCTAAGCGTTAGGGAGTCGTCCTTTAGGGCAGGGGACCAGGAACCCATGAGTATTGGTTCATTTGGGCCGCCAATTTTTTCGCCTCGTCAGTCTAAGGATCATTGGCACTCGGTCATTTCCTTCCGAGACTCTCCCCTTAGACCCGCTGAATACTGTGCGCGACTGCTTATTTAATTCGCAGTTACCCTATAATAGATGTATAGGGCATCCCACTATCCGCAACCTGTGGACGCGTCCGTTGGCATCCAGCCAGATGCCTCCATAGCGAATACAATATGTATCCGCTACGGCGGATAATAAGAATGCGAGTCCCCCACCTCCGCTTCTGGTACGGTCCTTTTTGCTTTTGGGGAGACTGCGGAGGTGTCTCGTACTCCGACGATGACGATTCGGATGATGAATCGGACGACGACTCTTGAGACACACTGGGAGACATGCTAGCGCAGCATGAAGCGACGTAACTCCTTTCGCAGTACTCCTGGATCCTGTTCAGTCCAGAGCAGCCTCGAAAATGCACCCATTCTCCACACCCATTGCATCTCACCGAGATAGATCTGTGGTGGATGCGGTTTCTGCAAACACTGCAGAACCAAGGTCCGGGGTTACTTACAATCCCGGCACGGACCAGTAGGGTTCGGAGCAGGCATTCCGGGATATAATGCCGCTCCCATGACAAAAATGACCTACACGAACATGAAATTGTTGAGGTGGCAGCCTCTGGTCGGAGTCCATCTACGAGTCAATCCGGTACCAGAACCAGCCGCCGTGGAATTGGGATTCGTAGTTTCTTCTGCTAAAACCGAAAAAACAGCACTTTTCATTTCTTTAACAATAGTAGTTGAGTAAGTGTAGGACAAGATGTCTACCATGGCATAGCCTCCTTACAATGGCAAGGACTCGGTAGCTAAACCTAATACTGGTTGAGGCGCCCAGGTATCAACCAGGCTCCGTTAGAATACAGTCGTTACACCTAAGCGTTAGGGAGTCGTCCTTTAGGGCAGGGGACCAGGAACCCATGAGTATTGGTTCATTTGGGCCGCCAATTTTTTCGCCTCGTCAGTCTAAGGATCATTGGCACTCGGTCATTTCCTTCCGAGACTCTCCCCTTAGACCCGCTGAATACTGTGCGCGACTGCTTATTTAATTCGCAGTTACCCTATAATAGATGTATAGGGCATCCCACTATCCGCAACCTGTGGACGCGTCCGTTGGCATCCAGCCAGATGCCTCCATAGCGAATACAATATGTATCCGCTACGGCGGATAATAAGAATGCGAGTCCCCCACCTCCGCTTCTGGTACGGTCCTTTTTGCTTTTGGGGAGACTGCGGAGGTGTCTCGTACTCCGACGATGACGATTCGGATGATGAATCGGACGACGACTCTTGAGACACACTGGGAGACATGCTAGCGCAGCATGAAGCGACGTAACTCCTTTCGCAGTACTCCTGGATCCTGTTCAGTCCAGAGCAGCCTCGAAAATGCACCCATTCTCCACACCCATTGCATCTCACCGAGATAGATCTGTGGTGGATGCGGTTTCTGCAAACACTGCAGAATCAAGGTCCGGGGTTACTTACAATCCCGGCACGGACCAGTAGGGTTCGGAGCAGGCATTCCGGGATATAATGCCGCTCCCATGACAAAAATGACCTACACGAACATGAAATTGTTGAGGTGGCAGCCTCTGGTCGGAGTCCATCTACGAGTCAATCCGGTACCAGAACCAGCCGCCGTGGAATTGGGATTCGTAGTTTCTTCTGCTAAAACCGAAAAAACAGCACTTTTCATTTCTTTAACAATAGACTTCTGGATGTATTTTCATTGTGAGATGTACTCTCCAATTCTTTTCTATATTTTTCATCGCCATCTATATCGCAACAGTGTTCTTAATTTTCTTCATTCGGATTATCTACGCCTAACGACAGTATTCCGGAGTCGTTACTTCCCATCAATGCGATGTCTACACAATGAAATTGTCTCAATCACCCCTTTAACTTTATACGTTTGTTCTTTCAATATATCGGAAGCTATTTTGTCGCTAATATGTTCTATACGTTTTGACATCTTTCATTCTCGATATAAAGTCCTGAGTCCTCATCATCGCGTCTGTGTGGTATTCCATTCTCCAATTTTTAAAAGGGTACGACAGAATTAACTTTGGTTTTGGTGTTGCCATTTCCGCACCCTTTTTATTTAAAAATAAGATGCGGACTTTACAAAAATCATATTTTGCTAAATCTGAATATGCGATTCAAGAAAACCGATCTAACCATTTTAATTGAAATGTATTTAAATACAGATTTTTCTATAAATCGTCTGTAATGGGGGTTTCAATACCTTGAAACAATGTCAAATAGAAGAACAATAGGAATTTGTTGATAATACTTTATTGGAGTATATAATGCAAACAAGTTGATTAAATGTATAATTAATGTTTTGTTAATTTGACATCCCGACATTAGGAAGACAAAAAACAAATTCCCTAGACGATTATCTTCAATTATAATTTTACTTGTTTTATTATACATAGTAATTATTATTTCGAGTAGTTTATCAATGCTCGGTATAACGAATACTCTATTAATCGAATTCGGGATATAACAAATGAGTAAAATAGTCGACTTTTTACACTGACTACCGTATATAACGAACGTTTCCAAATTTGTATCTGGGGACGAATGGTGTAAAAAATAATAGGTTTGTCTTATAAAAATATTTAAACCTGTTATTATTGTTATTTTAAATACTATATTTTATGTTAGAAATGCATTCAAATGAGAATTACTTTTTTAATAAAAATGCATTTTAAAAAACTTCGCTATATAACGAATTTTACGCTGTAGCAAATGGGCCTGACAATATATCATTATACCGGACGTTGACAGTATTATGAAATCGTTCAGTTCGTTTAAAAATCTTGTTATATAGATTTTATATTACACAATTATTGATATCTATAGATCTGCCCTTGTGGGAGGGTATTTTACTACTGATAATGTAAGCATCCATTTCTATATATGATACAAACAGATTTCATTGCACAATTTTATAATAAATTAAATTTTTATTAATTTTTTTTATTTATTTATATATTTCATAGTGCCCAGTCTTTCGACCTTAAGGCTACATTTCACAATTAACACTAGAAAGACGGGAATTTTGTATATACCTATATTGCCTAAAATCGGTCAAAATGACTTCACTCTGAAAAAAATGTATTTTGTAAAGAAATTTTTTTAAACTTATTTATTAATATTTTTTACATTATTTACAATCATACAAAACGTTGTTATTATTTGTTTTATGGGGGAGGGCTCTCGAGTTTCCCTTTATGAAAAATAAGAACGCGGACAAAATGTTAAAAAAAGAGGAAGTCTTTACTCTAAGAGTGAAATCGACTGGAAATATAAAATTTATTTTTCCCGATTTGTGTGTTCGTTTGTGTTTCTAGAGTATCAAACGGTTTTCGATGTTGTTGTAGTGATCTTGTCATATAAGAAATTTACTTTATACAATAATAAAAGTAGTTTGATTATTTAATATTTCACAAAAAGTCAAAATGACCGCTTTTAGGCTATATAGGTATAGCACATGTGAATACGGGGAATGAAAGAGGGGAGGAAGCAGCTACTATGATTAATAAACGTAGTTCTATGTGGTACAAAAAGTCACCAAATTTTAAAAAGCTGGGTCATAATATACACAATTGTTTTTGTACTTGAAATTGAAAAACGGTAAAAATGACTGCCTTCGGCTATCTAGTGTTAAATATAAAATTTATCGTATTAAGCGGCTTAAATGTAAAAGGGAGGGATATTGAACTACTAAAGAATATTATACCGATTAAATTACAAAAAAAAAAGTTTTTGATTATTATAGATTATGATTAAAAAATTTGATTAATTGGATTATGACTACTCCAGTAGGAATGGAATGGAAAATTATTATATATAAAAATGAGTTGTGTTTTTATCTAAATAATTTGTATCACAAATAAAATTGATGACTGTTGATTATGGATTTTCGATGAAAAAGCTGGGATTAAATAAAATCTATTGGATTATATAAATTGTTACAGCCAAAAAAGATTTTCTCAATTTTTTATATATTTATTTCAATCTTAACATGTATAACGAAGCCTTTAGGGCAATAAATGTAATACATTATGCAAAACAGTACGATTTAACTACTCAAACAAAGGGGCATTTCATAACATGTCCAAATATAATCATATTTATTTCATTAATACTTTTATCCGTTTTTAATTAAAGTAATGTTTTTCTAAATATATTTATAGGCATACGCAGCTGGATGTAATATTGTTGTGCTTGCAAGTACTTTTGAGCGGGTACAGATAATACCAGGAGCAACTCATGGTTATGTGAAAATATCTGCACTGGATTGTAGCACAGACACTGGAAAGATTGCAGCAGCATATGAAAATAAAATATGTATTTTTGAACCAACTCCAGTATTACAAACAGAAAAACGATTCACCCATTATCTGGATTATAGGTAATAAAAATTAAATAAATTAATATTTTTATGTTTGCCTTAGTGCTAGCTAAGGGCTAAGAGCGATTCCAAAACAACATACAACCAAGTTTTTAACACATAGAAAACATCCATAAACACATATCATATTTTAAATAAAATGTGCATATCGTAGGAAATGCAATCGAAATATAACAGGAATTTTTAAAATATGTTCGTAATAAACATACTTATGGTCTTTTTTATTGAACCTTCCCTCGTCTCATTCCCACCTTTGCCGACCGAGGGGGCGATCTCCCAATTTCGTAGGGATCACGTACTTACCATGATCCACAGAATGGGGTAGAAAACTATCTACAGAATCTACTCATTTAAAAATAAAAATAGATTTTTACTTGACATCATCGGCATACATTAGCAATTTTGAATGTATTACAGAATTTGGCAAATCATTTAAAAACAATAGAAATAGAACAGGTTCTGGCGACTTCTTGCGGAACATTAATCGATTTTGAAAGACATCTCAAACAAAAGTGTTTGTGACCTATTTTGTAAGTAAAATTATATCCGTTTTACTAAATTTATACTTTTTCCAGATGTTTTTTTTTAATTTATTTATTTATTTTATTTTCAAATTCATGATATTACAATAAATGTAGTGCCGCCAAAAATTTCATGATACACCTTGGAAATGTTTTCTTACTAAAAAAACTGGTCCTAAATTTTATCAACTCTTCATGGACATTTAAAATTATATTGTTCGTGATATCCGTTATGGTATTTTTTTTAAACATAAAACAATAAGAAAAAATGTTGTAAATTATTTTTTTCTTTAGATCTTCAAATATATACATATCTGGAAAGTTACAAACTTTAACAAGTTTTAGTATTATTTTATCAGCCCATTGAAAATCTTGAGATTTTAAAATCTAGAATAGAGGGGGTTCTCTTAAATAAGCGTGGAATCACCCTAGAGAAAACTTAAGTTTAATGTCAATTTTTTATCGAGTAGAAAACTAATTATTTTGCCTTTAAATAAAAAACACAACACAATTTATAATTTATTAAGATAATTCACTTGAAAATGTTCTTTAAAATCTTGAAATAGTCCAAATGTGCTTCACAGAGACTATGTAAATTAAAATAATTTGAATTTTGGCAAAATGTTAATATTTTCGTTTTGACGTCTAACATAATTTTGTATGTATTGGTCTGTTCCAGTACTTTTTTAGTAGTAAATCTAGTAAAAGGGAAACATTTCAAAATTGCTCTCAGAGTACAAAATATTTTGAAAAGTTCGGGAACGCAAATCTAGTAAATATACCAAAATTAGATGGCAAAATCACTTCAAAATCAACATAGCCAATCAGAAGTAGGCATTTTTGTTTACCATTTTTACTCGGCCAAATTTCTCGAGTAAAAAGTTTACAAAGAGAACGCCATTTTGTTTTGGGCTCTCTTAAATTTGCAAAACTTGAAAAAGTAGTAGATTGTTTTAGGTTCTGGAACGGAACTTATATGTTTCAAAATATGAGTTGACAGTAAACATAATACTCAGCTGTGCCTACTGCCCGTCTTATATAAGCCTTGAATAATTGTTTTTAAAAAAGAAAAATTATTTTACATATCGACTGGCCTTACTGGATGACCTAATGCCATAACGCCTATGATAACATATACAGTCTTAATTCTTTATTTATACCTAACGAGAGTGACCAACTACTCACTTACATATCAGTTCCAATATTACCTTCATTTGCTGTAGAAATAACTAGAACATCATATTCATTTAGTTCCAAAAATCCTTTGGTGCTTCTTTTTAACTCTCCGTCAGTGGCCCACTCAGGGTTCCAGCTATATCCATTTACCCAATCCTAATTGTACTAAATTTAGTACCATTTAGTACTTCTCATACTCATAAGTAAGAATTTCTAAAACTACACTACACTGAAACAGTAATTCTAATTCTATATTTTAGAATTCACGCCCTGCCCCTTCACACAAAACAAATAGTACCATATTTAGAACCATTTATTGCTTTTCGTATCCAAAAATTTTCAAAACTATCTCAAATTTGCCAAATTTCAGAATCCTAATTGCACCATATTTAGTACAATTTTGTACTTTTCATATCTATAAGTACGAATCTCCTAAACTACATCAATCATGTTCCTCGTAGTAATTTTAATTTAAATTTCAGGTTTCCATATCTATCCGACCAATAAAATCTAAATTGCACCAAGTTTAGTACCATTTAGTACAACATAACTACCTCCATGTCTCAATCCTACATTCCAACACTAGTTTTAATTCCAAATTTCAGGATTTCAGCCGGATCCGCAAAAACAAATTGAAAATATTTGGTACCATTTAGACACGAAATTTCTGGAGTCCAGCTCTATTCGTTCACACAAAATCAAATTGTACCAAATTTAGTACACGTAATTACGATTCCTCCATATCCCAACTCTGAAAATTGATCAAGGTCTCTCCGTTCACCTAAATACAAGTATTTCCAAAACTACCTCAATCCTTCACTCCAACAGTCATTTTAATTCCCAACTTGCATCAAATTTAGTACCAGTTAGTACTTTTCCAATAGTAGTCCTATTTCCAATTTACAGGATTCCATCTCTATACGCTCAACTAAATACAAATAGTACCAAATTTAGTACCGTTTCGTATTTTTTATAGACTTAAGTACGAATTTCCATACATCATACAACATAAGTTACGAATATTTCCATACATAAATATTTAGAACAGCAAAAATTAATGGAAAACAAATAAAATCACCGTTTTCTATTACTCTTATATGTTTTGGATTGCCAAAAATACAATTTTGCCACTAGAACTAAGGAAAACATATTTGCAATTCTTAACATAATAAATATGAAAATCTCTTTATGTGGTCAAAAGTCGATGCGCAAATTAAACGTAATATTGTAATTGAAATGTTACTTATTAAATATTTTCAAACTGAGAAACATTTGTAAATAAATGATAGAAAGTGCCAAGGTGTAAGTGACAATCATATGGTTTTAAACTTTTGTCTTTATTGTTTGTAAAGTAAATTGTCAAAAACATTTTCAATATTACATTTCGATTTCGAAAATGTTCTTTAAATGTAGGCATTTTTAATAATAAAAATTCAAGAATTAATTCATGAGGTGGACGGAAAGGAAACCTAGGCTTAAAACAGTTATAACCCCGTTCGCCGAATGGTCCACATATTTTATGTTATGTGTGGAAATCTGTCCCTAAATTCCTGATACTCATAAAATCGAGGAGATTTTGTTATCCTATATTGGAATCGGCCCCTTGGTGCTTGTCACAATTCTCGGCGAAGGTTAAATACGCCTATGGAAAGATTTTATACGGTCAACACAATTTCCATGATTTAGTCTTTGGCCGGGGATTTATGTCTATGGGATGCATGTGGAAACTTAAAATTAATCTCGACCAGGTCTTAAACTTTATTTTTCACAGACCTAAACCGTCAATAACCCAAGAATACACAAATTCATTAATTATTCCTTAAAGAATTGTTGTTTTTGTTTTTTGTAAAAAACTGATTGTCAGCATGACAATTTAATTTCTATAACAACAATGTTGTTTTTGTAAAATGTTTGTTGTTGTATCTGATACATACACCTTGGAAATTGTCATAAATAACAATATGTTGTTACCAAAGGCATGGTTCGCAAAATATTGCTAGTTTACAATGTACACTTTATGTCACAAGAAATAGAAATACTAGAAAAACGTTTTTCAAGTCCAAATGAATATGGTTTTAACCATTTTGATTATTAAATTGAAATTTATTTAACTTTTTAGGTGGGTTCAAACTGGATCGTTTACTAGTCATTCCCATGTAATTACATTATCCTGGAATTTAGAAGGAACGCGGCTTTTAACCGGTGGTTCTACAATTCAATTGTGGAAAGAAAAATCTAATGAGTATGCGGACGACGAACCAACAGGTAAGTTGTTTTAACAATACTAACGTTCAAGCCATGGTATAATAATAGAAGGTAACAGTAAGTGTTGTTGTACAACACACGATACAACAACCACATGGAAATTTTTTGTTGTAAGTTATACTAGTGTCAACGTCATTTGACAGAAAAATGTAAACAAACAAACAAATTATCAAGAAATTATATTTATTTTGAAAATGAAATATTTTCGAATCCTCAAAATAAAATTGAAAAACATGAATGAAAATCTATCAAATTTATATTTCTATCGCTTCCACATCTTTACTATAATTGAGCCATAACCACTTATATGTGTAACACATATGAAAATGCAGGGAATTGCGAGTTATTTCATGAAGAATGATTTGCTTCCTCAAACTTTCCCAGCAGGCAGATTGAGTAAATTGAATACGGGAGCACATTTAATAATGAACAATTTCCAATTTTCCTGTTGGGTGATTTTTAAAAACATAATTTGTCAAATTCATATTGACACTAGTATTACGTTGGAATCAAATCAGCTGGGATTTGCTGTTACCTTTTATTATTGTACCATGCGTTCAAGCGAATGATGCCCACCGTCAAATTCGATTAAAATCTAATTCAATATATATGAGAATCTAGTTCCAAGGGCCATGAATGAAATATCTTTGATGTCCAAAAAACGTCAAATTTGTGCACTCCGGATTTTTTTTTCCAATTAACTCCTCTCCTCCTTGGCTCACGTCCTATTTGGTATTAGAATGTTCAGAGCCATGTCTCCATATGTAGCTTAAGCTACGAATTTGACTTTATCCATAGATGGTGGTTTGTGTTTTGCAGGTTGACTTCGATCTTCTTTAAGAATTTGACCACAATGTTCAGACTTTCTAAGCCTTGTGTATCAGTGAACTCTTCTACTGTGAAGGAGTCACATAGTTGCGAAAAGCATCTTCTTTTGTTATTAAATTTACGAAAATTAAAAATTTCATGCGCAGCTGTTTGGATTCTGTTGAACGACTCGTAATTTATAGGTTATCCGTATTTAAAAACACACGTGTTAGTTAAGCGAACGCTTAACAACCGCCATTTTGTAAAAATCTATTTTTAAGCCCGTGGGCGTGTAATACTCATTTAAAATTTTTACGTCTTTCTTGTGAGCCGTCCGAGGACGAACTGCACTCCGGATTTTATGTTCAGATGGCAAATAGTGTCAAATAACGTAACGTAAAGTGTCAAATAACGTAACGTAAAGTGTCAAATAACGTAATGGCAAATAGTGTCAAATAACGTAATGCTAACCATCTGAATGGAAAGGGGGTAGGAAATTACTCGTACCAAAACAAAAAATTTAAGTTTTTCATTCGCCAGGGATCCGAAATGCCGAATCACAGCGATATTAAATGGAAAACACCGCAGAAACTCCAAATTAGAGCGGTACCATTATATGGAATTCGGTGAAAAAAAAAAATTGTCTTCAAAATAACTAAAATGGGGGCTACTGACCACTTTTTGCAAACATGTATATCACCGACCAAGAATTCGGATGAATATATATATATATATATATATATATCAGAAGTTGGCTGTAAATCCAATAGTTGTGGTTCACCTTTAAATTTATATTAATTATTTTGATGTATGTACACGGATGTGAACGCTATTCTGAAAAATTTACAGCTGTAGAAGTATTCTAATATTGTTTAGTATTATCACATTTGAGGGCGGAAATATCGTGGTGATAGCTATGATTTTTGTCATCTTTTGATGGTGATCAGATTATCAGTTTCTAATCGCTCTAGAGTGCACGTTAACAGCCCGACCACCAATAAATTTTAAACGGAGATGGGAATCAGAGATGGACATGCGGTGGCTTTTTTTTGACTTGCGTTATGCATAAAATAAAGCGATAGTAATACTTAACGCAACTACAAATGATGCGGTATAGCACAGTCAACACTCGGTCATTCGTGAAAATACTGCCATTGTTGACTCTCACTTTACCGATTGTTTTCCATTCACATCATATCTTCGTATAAACACTCTCTGCTATCGCCGGCTTCGTTCAGAGTGTTTTTATGCATGTGAGTGCGGGGGAACATAAACAATGCAAACAACGCAAAAGAAACAACGTCAATCGAATCAATGCGGTGCACCGCATCATAACAGTACTACTCTATGAGTGAAGTTTGTTTTTATGATCAGTTAATTTTAGAATGAACTACGACAATCCAGTTTCTAATTTATTTTTATTTCTGTTATGTTATACATAATATTTTAAAATTTCTCATACAACACGAATTATTCTTTTAATTCTTAAATAATTTTTTTATTTCCCCTTATAACTATACTGACTATTTTATATGTAGCAATATTATAATTTTTTATAATAAAAAATGAATTCATTTTTTGTTAAAAAAAAAACGTTTTTGCACTATTAATTTTTAATTTACCATTAATTGTTGTTGCGTTATTTTATTTTATGCAAAACGCAAGTCAAAAATAATATACCGCAAGCCAACCCCTGTGTATAGAAAATTACTCTTAATGTTACTCTCAATGTTATTCTCAACACCAGTTTTGTATTTTACTTTTTCACACAATAAGTCATTTGGTCGTATAACACGTTATTCATTTGGTGGTTGATTTATTTCAACCTGCGCTCTCCACACACTCGGTAGTGCAAACTCTGCTATTAACGATCATTTGCGTTGTTTGTAGAAACAATTGTAGTCCGGTGGGATTCATTTGTATTTGACTTACTTTTGTGTTTATGTTATGCTTAGGAGAATTTGCGTTGGTGAATATGAATGATTTTTCTATTGCGTTAGCCGGTGTACTACTAGTTGCGTTGAATGGATGTCATTCTCTGATGGGAATCTGGTTAACGAAAAACATAGCTGTGTTGATAGTGATCGATCAATATTTAGGGGATTAATTGGCTTTTGTGGGAAAATTTAATAAAAAATTCCATGATATTTACTTTTAATGCGGGAAGGTGTACCTTGTATATCCAAGAGTAATAGCTGACATTTAAATGGATAAAAATGACATATGTATACTGATTTATATACTCGATATGGGGGCTGTACTAAAATTTTACCGGGATTTCCTTATTCGGATATTATTTAGTAGTATTATGCTCACACCGAAAGATACATTTTCAATTATGCTTCTTTTGTTTATCACCATGTAATAAGAGGGGATGAGCATGATATGGTTCGGCTTGCAGGTATTTCAATTATTTTACAAAGAGGCTGAACAGAAGTTTTCCGTCAAATTCGCCAACTTTTTATTATTTATATAAAAGAAGCTTTGACAGACGTTTAACGTCAAATCAGTCTTTCTTTTATTTTAATATTATTTATAAAATATAAATTTATTTGGTTGTACCAATACACCCCAGTTAAACTACCGGGTATTTATTTTAATGTCTTTATTTATGGAAGATCACAAGCAGAATGATCAAAAATTCTAAATAACATCATTATTAAAAGAATGTTACAATGCAACGAAACCGAGTTAACGGGAACAAAATGAGACAAAGAGAAATTACAAATAACTTCATATTGATTTGTTATTGTAAAACATAAAGTGAGTGTTTCATAACAAATTGAGTGAAACTATAATTATAGCAAAACAAAGGGAATAATGAGTATAATTGAAAACAAAACAAATATGATCGAAAATGTAGCAGTAAAATAATTTGTATAAACATTATTGTTGTTGTTGTAAAAATATATAAGTAAAAATGTAGCTCGTTACAACCTCCCCCTCTGCCATAGAATTAATTGGGGCACATGATATGTTCCCTTGGGGATTTCAGGTTATTACGTATGGTCCATCCCTCCGGGGTACGAACTTCGATGAGATGTTTTTACCAGCATTACTCAAAACATGTGTAGCCACTAGAACCTTGTCCCCGATTTTTAATTCCAAACCCTTTCTACGCTTTATATCAACATAAGCTTTATTTTTGTCTTGTATCATTTCTACGGACTCATTTGACGTCTTCAATATATTTGCCATTTTACAGGAAAGGCGTGATTTGAGGTATAAAATTTTCTGACAAAATAACAGCTTTTAGGTCAAGTTGTACTTCTAATGGACTCCTTAATTCACGCCCAAATGTCAAATATGCTGCAGAATAACCCGTGCTCTCACATTTAGCTGTGTTCATGGCGAAACGAATCGATGAAAGTTTTGAATCCCAGGATGTGTGATCCTTACCAGCAGATATGGCGAGCTGTGTCTTTAAATCACGATTTTTCTTTTCCACTGGATTTGATTCCGGATGGTATACAGTTGTAAATGATTGTTTTATGTTTAAGCAAAATGCCAATTTTTGCATTATAGCTGAAATGAACTGCGGGCCATTATCAGTGTGAATCCGTCTTGGAACTCCGTATCGCAATATAATGTCATTTAAAATGATTTTGGAGCAAACATCATTTTCATTGTTTTCTTCAAATGCTTCAATTATTTCCTTTGTATCACTGTCTTCCAATTGCAATTTACGTATTTCTGCAGCGCCATTTTTAGGGAAATCTATTGATATGGAAAAACATTCACATTTAATATCGGTATGCGTATCTACTTGACAGGGTGGACGGGAAAGCGTATCGGCAACAACATTTTGTTTTCCCGGAGTATAGCCAAATACCAGGTTGAACGATTGTAGCTCTAGAGCCCATCTTGCTAAACGTCCTGTTGGCGATTTGATTGAGAATAGTCATCGTAATGGTTGATGGTCTGTCAGAACGTTTATAGTGGAACCCTCAATGTACCCACGAAATTTCTTCACAGCCCATACAACTGCTAACGCCTCTCTTTCCGTAGTCGAATAATTACGCTCGGCTGGCAGCAGCAAACGACTGGCATACTCTATGGGATGTTCGTCCTCTTTCTCCCCCTGCATCAAAACTGCTCCAAGCGCATAATCGCTAGCATCTGTTTTTAAATTAAACGGCTTATCCTCATTGACTTGTTTAAGAATTGGAGGAGATGACAACATCGTTTTTAAT